ACCAGCAATAATTAAACCAACAGCTTGAAAGGCAAAGGAAAATAAATGAGGAGATAATGGCAGAGCCGGAGAGGAGGTGTATCCCAGGCTGACCTCAGATAAGGAGGCCTCAGAGCCAGATCAACCACAGATCCTTATCACGAATCCTCCGAAAGAATAATCCGCAGTGCTCACATTTCCCTCTCTAATCAAGTACAGTATTACTTTCCTAAAAGAAAAGCTGTTTCCAAGACACAAGTTCACTTGTTAAAGGCAAACTATTATTTTAGGGGGCAATTTTTATTTAAAGCCCAATACACACACACACACACACCACCACCATAAAAAAACTTTCTCTGAGCTTCAGCATTTCTCCCATGCCTTCTCCTCCATAAGTGATCCCAGGGCATCAAGGACCACCCTCTGGGGGTATGTCATCAAGCCCTTGTAGTTTAGTGTAGTTTAGTTTTTTTTTTCTGCCCCCTGTAAAAATGTAGTTTTCCAAGTAGTACTTTCGCCTTGCTCCAGCCTTTCCCCCATGCCTCCTCCTCTGTGGTCAAGTGGTTTTCTTATATTGAATAACACCCAGTCTCATTTACCCACTTCCTGTGATCCTAAGGTGTCATGGATCCACTCTCCTGGGGGGGTGTCATCAAGCCCATTTGTAGTTTATTTTTTATTTTTTTTATGTCCCCTGTAAGAAAAATATTTTACCAAGCAGTACTTCCTCCACACTTCAGCATTTCCCCCAGGCCTTCTCCTCCGTGGTCTGGTGGTCCTTTTTTTAGGTTGAGTAATGCCCAGCCTCATTTGCTCACTTCCTGTGATCCCAGTGCATCAAGGACCAACCCCCAGAGGTGTGTCAACAACCCATTTTCAGTTTTCTTTTGTGATGCCCCCTTCAAAAAAAAAACACATTACAAAGCTGTGCTTTCTATTTACTTCAGCATTTCCCCCCATTACCTCCTCCTCCGTGGTCCTTTTTCAGGTTGAATATTGCCCATTTCCCCACTTGGTCTATTTGCCCATTGAGCCTTTTACCCACTTCCCGTGTTCTCAGGGTGTCAAAGACCCGCCCCTTGTGAGAATGTCATCAAGATGAACTTTTAGGAGAGCAGAGAACAGTACTCATGTTTTTATGAAAGTAAGGAAAATCTGTAAGAGGGACACAGACTGAAATAAAATGTGGCCTTCCTGTAATAAAAAATAAAGGTCCTGGTAAAATCATCACCACCAGCACAGGAAATAATGGGAAATCTCTTTACTGGAATTCCAGGTAACGGTAAAAGTATATCAGGGGTTCTAATGCCTCCTAGATCTATCTAAAAGTTTTACAAAAACACACAACCCAGGCACCTAGCATTTTCCAGAAAGATCAGCCATGGCATCCACCGTTTTCCTTTCTTTACAGGTTTAAATAAATAAAGGATATAAATGATATTAGTAATAGTAATAAAAATAGTCATCAGTTAAACGTCAGTTAGTTTATATAGTGTCAGCCCTCATAGCATCAAACATAAGCTGAGGCTAAAAGAGAGATAGACAGACAAATAGATAGAGAGAGAGAGGGGTAGGGAGAGGGAGAGAGAGAAGTAATTCATTACAGTAACCCTGTACTTTATTATTATTATTATTATTATTATTATTATACAGGATTTTTATAGCGCCAACAGTTTGCGCAGCGCTTAACAATATAAACCTTGACTGTGTTCAATGTCACAACTTTTTGGGGGGGATAGACTAGGAAGAGGTTGGAGCCCCTGTCAGTGAGTTCCCACTGCTGGGATTCACCCCTCTCTGTCCTGGTGACTAATGTCACCCACATAGAAAGAGATGGGTCTGTCAGCAAAGTGCATTGAGGTCCCATTCAGAATTAATGATACTGCACCATGCCAATGCAGCAAAGCCAATAAAATGAACATCGACGGAAGAAAGAACATGATCTGAATTACAATTTTTTTATAAGAACTATCAATAATACCAATTTGGGTATATCTACAACCAAAACCTGTTTTTCCCATCTGTGTCCTCATTGGGGAGATTTCCCTTCACTTCCTGCCCTGTAGACACAACAGGACCTAGAAGAAATCCACTCATAGGTTGGCCATACACTGTTATTTTTTTTTTTCGTGCAACCTGGAAAAAATATAACAGCTTCCTCACTCCACGCTAAACAGCATGGATGGATGGACACTCTCCTGCTTGGCCAATCATATTAGTGGCGGTTATGCCGCTGTCAGAATACCTGAACAGTGATGGTAGCTGATGGGCTACTGTCACTGTTCATCCGAAAAAAAATTCTAACCCACTCCTTCGATTTTCTGATCAAAGGATGCCGGACAGAAGCATCCCAACAGGGCCACCCACTGTGCGAATTTCAGTTGGTTGATCAAGAACCGTCCAAAATTCAAACAGTGCATGGCCAGCTTTGAACAGCTGTCAGTGAAACACATGTCCCCATTGAAATATTTCATCTCTATCTCTGTTTTGGGGACAATTTGGGATTTTCCCTAATTTTCAGACCCAATGGCAATGGTTTCCAATGGCAAACAGAGAGAGTGAACCTCCCCAGGGCCGGATTTCCCACAAGGCCAACCAAGGCCTGGCCTTGGAGCAGCAGGGAGTAGAGGGGCAGCAGGGGTGTGGAATTCCTATCTCCCGGCGCCTGGGACATGCAGTTCCAGGCGCCCGGCGGGTAGTTGTTTTCTACATTTAGCCATGCTTTGGGCAAGTGGAGCTAAATGTACAGCAGGGAAGCCGTCGCTTGTTTTGTACAAGTGATCCCG